ACACACACACACACACTATTTTTTTCTTTTATTTACCCAAAAAATATATTGTATATTAACGGGGCTATTAATACTTTAATCGGGTTTATCGGGATGACGTCATAATTCCTAATATCGGCCCGATAATTATCGTGCACCACTACTGTCTAATCAGCATCTTGATATGCCACACCTGTGAGGTGGGATGGATTATCTCGGCAAAGGAGAAGTGCTCACTATCACAGATTTTTTCAGATTTGTGAACAATATTTGAGAGAAATTGTTATTTTGTGTATATAGAAAATGTTTTAGATCTTTGAGTTCATCTCATGAAAAATAGGAAAAAACAAAAGTGTTGCATTTATATTTTTGTTCAGTGTAGTTCATCCACCAAATGTTTCCTCTAGTGCCACTGGGGCAGCATGTGGGACTGCAACAAGTTCACAAACTGCCATTGAGTGAAGCTAAATTAAAAGGCTAAAAGGAATAGAATATTGCATTGTGTACATTTCAACAAATCGATTAAATAAAAGCTGACGACTTAAGGAATGCTTATGTAATGTGGCTTCGAAGACAATGTCTGACCTCGAGGCTGAGATAGAGCTCTCCCAGGAAGAGCACATAGGAGTGGAACTTCTTCTGAGTCTCTTTGTCTCCTTGTACAGCTCCATCCCTCTGTTCATACTCTGTCCGACACCTAGGGCAGACGACGCATTATAGCTTTGAAACATCACTTTGAATGAACAATGACAGGTCCAATGCTTCCTGGCCTTATTCTCACTGAATAACTGAGAGTAATGTAAAACATATTCCTACTCTCTACTACTGCTGTGAAACTAATATTTCATACTTATTTTACCCTTTTCAACAATCCAATTATCAAAATATTTGCATTTCATGAAAAATAAAGGGACTTTGGTCATAAGATTTCATCTACCCCGATATCGACCTACATTAAATCCAGTCAAATATAAACAAATGACCTTTTTAGGAGCAGCTGACGAAAGTTGCCACTTGGAGGGCTGACGGTGAGATGATGAGACAGGTAGTTACAGAGCCGGGCGCCCGTGTACGAGAAGTTCGGAATGGCAGTAGACTGCAATGAAAGGAAGAGTTAATACATTGTCTTATACCATTGTGTGGTTCACCAGAAACATAAACATAAATATATATATATATTTCGATGTGCATGCTTTGTTAAGACAGGTTTGGTTTAAAATCATATTGTTTACTATTCATACACACAGCAACATGAGAAGTGATGGTGTGTCTCTAACCTGTGTGTAAATCAGCTCCACCAGCTCATTCAGCAGCTCCTCAGTAGTGACCCAGGAATTGAGCATCGCCGTTATCTGTTCAACGTCAGACTCAAAGGAGCCTGGTGAGGAGCTCAGGTGGGCCAGGAAGTCTGTCACCGTCTCAGCCAAGGTTTGTTCCTCATAATAGCTTGTGCTGTCATCAGAAAAAGAGGGGTCCTATACAAAAATCACAAAAAGAACATGAACAACTATTGAAAAACCCAGAACACGTTCTTGTGCTGCTGCAAACATACATTTAGAAGTATAAGTTTAAAAAGAAGAAATCTAAGATAAACTTTAACTCTTTACAAAAGCAATGATAGATGTGTTACTGACACAGTTCCTGTCTCCAATTACAACAGCAGTAAAGAGAAAAATGTTTCAAAACACATTAAAAAAAAGGAAGTTATAACATCAGAATAAAGGCATAATAGCGTTACTCTTACTTCACAGGAGTTCATTCCAGAAGGGAAAAACTCTGGGGCACTCGCTGAAAGCTTTGACGACTGGACCAAAGAATCTGCTTCATTAAAACCTCTGGAGGCAGACGCACTGTTGGCATTTGCACTTGGTTGGTGTTTGCTCGGTCTTTTAAAATCTAAAAATGGAAGAAAGATATTCTCAGTCTTAGTTACATCTTTAACTACTCATCCAACATGGGTGGATTGTCTCTCTTTTCTTTAAAGAACAAGCTGGCAATAGTCTATAGTGTTGAACAATGTTTAACAATAATTAAACAATGTTGATCTTTCAGTAGGTCCTTAATTAGAATATTTCATTTTGATTTATTTTCTAAAAACATCCAAGCTGAACACCGCAGTTTGTTTTTAGCAAATCTCACCAATTAGTACATTTGAATACGACTGCAATTAAAGTCTATGGCACAGAGGAACAAGCTTCATCGGGTTCAAGATATGGGCACAACATGTTTTGTGCACAACAGAATGAAAAGAAAAAAAGACAACAGGGTGTAAAAACAGCCAATACACAGTTAACAGAAAGAAATACCTGTGCTTAAAAAGTACAAAACATTGATTGAGTAACTTATATTGAGTGCAAAGACATAGTACTGCACACTATACTATGTTTCACTTACAAAAGTGCTGCTGTGAGTACTTAGAGTTTCATGCAGGATTGCAAATTATGCATATGTGCTGATCTCAGCTCTCTGTTCCCATGCTTATTGTTTAGGGTCATACTATAGGTGCGGCTAGAGTACAGTACACATCAACCTAGTGGAGCTATCTGTGGATTGGTTTGCTGTTATCCCAGGAAATAATACCAGAATCTGCTGTGATATTTATTTTCGAGGCAGATAATATCAGTACAATTCCCACCAATACTAGTTGATGCTAACTTTCATTTTGTGATATTTTTCAACATTATATATATTGCTTTAGCCTTTGTAATCACGTGGTGTGTTGACCATACAGAAACACACAATAGTGCTGTGAAAAGTCCACACATTAGACTCATTCTGATACAGTTGCACATCTGACACAGATAATAAAGCTTTAGTGATACATTCTAAACCGTGAACTATTTCACTGGCACTTTAATTCCCTACTCCTTAGCGCCAGCTGCTTGATCAGATTAAAGGGAGCAGAAAAGGGAACTATTTTTGCCACTTTGCTCTGCGTAGACAAACGTTATAACGTGGCTATAACGAAAGATTGCTCCAAAACGTTATATCTAGGTAAGACAGTTGTAAATGTGGTACGTAACTAAAGAACCATGCAATATCTGAGTGGGAGCTTTTTTTAGACGGAGCGTTACAAACACAATCCAACAGGTGCATGTCGCAACAGCAACATGCTAAAGCGAGCTAACATTAATGGTATTTAGCAGCTAGCTAACTATCATTAATTTCAACAGCAGATTTAACCAGGTAACACGAGGATATTAACCCTTAACGCTTGTCAGTATAACTATTAACCTAAGGTTATGTTGTGGCTACTATTCATTTTACGTAAAAACAGTCTTTGGCCTTCACTTGTAATAATGTCAGAGGGGGTCGTTTACAAGGAATCGAATGTGAAAGTAGCTAGCTTAATTAGCTCAGTTATTGCCGTTGTTAGCTCGTTGACAGCCCCATACCTCCAGCAACCATGGCGTCGGCCGCGCTTGTGCTGTTTTCAGAATAAGGCGGGGATGTTCGCGGCTGTCTCAACGGCTCCCTTTGGTTGAAAAGCGGGGCTTTGGGGTCTCCATTGCCGGTGGACCCCACAAGCCCGGGGTCCGCGGGAAAATGTCGGGACCTCTCTGCTCCGGGTGCTCGGTTAAAACAATCTTCGTTCATGGTTGCTCGTATGTCTCTCAAAGCGGCATCAGAAAGATCAAGATCAGCAGTTAACTTGTTTTTGTGGTGCGTAGCATCAATTGTTTGTGTTTTAAGACCATAAAACACGACCTATCTCTCTTTCATGATGCCTTTCACTAAATCGGCTAGTATCACAACTTTTTGTTGGCCACTTCCTTTAACAACAAACTCCCCGTTGCTGATTATCCGTGAAAATTAAAGTGTCTCCCTCTGGTGGCGTGGAGGGCAAAGCTCAGCCATAAATCGTGCATCTCGCTGAAATTAAGGAATGGTACTAATGGTAAAATAATTCAGATTTTTAACTCCATAACATCCAAACAGTCAACCACTAAATATACATAATGTTACTTTATAGGAAATGTTCACACATTAAAATAAATATGAGAATACAACATTTAAAAATAAGGTATTTGACTCCAATTGTAAGCTGTCATTGTACCTACACAAAGTTATGACTACAGCTAAACAACAAAGGCAAGAAAGCTGCACAAAATTAAACATACACATTTATATATAACTCATAGTGCTTCTTTAAGATTAACTAAATAGGAATACATGCATCATTTTTTAACCGACTTGGTGCCTGACCATCATTCAAAATATGCTGCTGTGGCCTGAATTTTTGAATTACTAATGTCACAAGTCGAAATTCGACTAAATAACACAAATTTTTTTTGACTAAATGTGGAAAATGTCTTGGTCAAAATGAACTTGTATTGACTTTAGTTACAGTTGCTTGGATGGTTTTGCTTCTAAAACTCTATGTGACCTATAAAGTCCTGTATGCCTAGAACGTCTGCGTTTTTCTACTGCCCCATTTTTGGGTTTTAGGTTATCTGGATGATGGACCTGTTAAAGTGTATGAGTGGTTGAATATGTCAAATGACGTAGTATTGATTTATTATATCTGCAAAAGCACTGTTGTACAATTTTGTGGAACTAACTGATATATCTGACTCACATTTATGCACCACAGAGGCGATTCTGGACCTGTGCAGCCCCTCCAGAAAGCCTCCCTCCCTGAGCTCTCTCAGTAGCTGCCCACTACAAACATGTGTTGCACCAGAGCTCTCAGTGTAAGTATTCATTAGTTGTTTGAGCCTCCAGCCATTTTCCACTTGTTTCCCAAAGCTGGATCACATTATGCCACAGAGAATTCCCGTGCCAGAATAAGGAAATCCACTTCGATAAAACGATTACTGCCCCTTATTTGCTATTGTTGTTGTTTATCCCCCAATGCCAATGTCTTGGCCTCAGCAACAACAACACCACATTACAAAATCGCTTTCATAAGCAGAGAAAATGCATTCGACTCTGTATGGTGCAGAGATTGTCATGAAATACTATTCCATATGTTGCCATTGGCCCTGACTGTCATGGTGGATTCCATTGCAGCATTCCTTGGCATTAATCATTTGTCGCGGTGATTCCTTGGGCAATGAAAGGACAATATACTATAGCCTAAATAAACTGTTTCCTGTACTATTAATATGATTCACATTGCTTTTGTTGCTTTGGAGCCCCACTCACAGGCCAACTTGGATAAATGTCTCTTGCCACAGGTCTCTCAACTTCCTGTCTAAATCTACTCTCTTCGTCTTCTCGTGCCGTTGCTGAGATGGATGTTCAGAGAGGCGGGATAAGAGAACATGAGGCCCGGAAGCCTGTGGTGTTAATGTTCTCCCCGTGATCTTTTGATCTGGCATCAAGGCAGCTGTCATTGATTAGTGTGTTTGTAGATGATTACTAAGGGAAATGGGTGGTCAGACACAGGTCATATCTCTCTTTCTGCCTCCACACACTTTCAAGGCCCTGCAGTAAACATATTGGCAGAAGTGATGCTGTCCAACATGACAGAGCTAGTTTGATATTTTAGATTTTTTGTGGCAGATCTGTAATAATTGGGTAATACTAAGATATTATGTCAGCATCTACAGGCAATACCACAGAAGGAACCTCCCTCCCATTTTGTTGTCATTGGTCTATATGTTTCCTTTTTGCTTGGGAAATAATCATTAGTGCAATGGTTGCCACATGGAAAATCTGGCGAGGCATTACAGTTGCCTTTTGGCCCTCAGATAAGAATAGACTAACTGTGACCTGAAAGTTCACCAGGGTTTATCACTTCTTGCTGTTCCACTTTAGTAAAATCAATTTCCGTGTATTGAGGAAGTCAGACAACTACATTGCAGAGGAGATTTTTTTATTTTAATTTCACATAAAAGAGTTCCTATAAAAAGTAAAGAATGCAAAGGAATGCTTGCCTTGTAAGTATTCCCCTCCAGTTAAATATTTCACAAAAATAAATAAATCATTACATTACAGTCAAAACACAGTGGTTAAGTATCAAACATTTGCTTTAAATGTGTTGCATCCTCTATTATTCATGCTGTGGTGATGAACTGACCAATCATTTCCCTCATCTTGTCTAGTCTCATCTCTCCTTTTATCTTGCAGATTATCTGGGTTCTCGATGTAAAATGTGGATTATAAATAACATCTTCTGCATCTACCGCAGTATTAGCTGGGACAGTATCCCCTGTGTTGTCTGCATTACACACATACTCCAGTTGCAACAGTTTGGCACAGAAAAGAAGGATAAATATTGCATCCGGTGCCACAGAAAACACAAATATCATCCTTTCCCACTAAATAAAGTACGTGATTTCAGTAAAAGTCAGGAGCAGATACCATATTTTTTTGTGTAACAGTGTTAGTGCCTTGTTTCCAATATGAGATTTCTCAGTGTCTTTATTTTACAGCTTTTTTATTATTGAAAACCTCTCTGTCCAGTGCTGCTTATCCTCCTCCCCCTGTTGATCCCTCCAGTTCACACCATAATTGGAAGGAAGTGGGTGGCCGTGTTCTTCCTGCGGGTTTTCTTCCCTCTCAGCGGCTTCCCGTGGACATTCAGACCCACAAACATCTGCCGCTTCTTGTTCCTCCACTCAGCTGATGCGTACGTGTTGTAGCCATTCTCCTCAATGCGCTCCTTCAGGGTGCAGTCGACACCGAACTCTCTCTGTAAAAACAGTAGGTATCATGTTTCAATGTTTTAACCCAGGCATGTGAGGTTAAGGCAAAACACACATCATTTTCTTGTGCAAATCCATTGTGGTTGCTCATGGTACCGTGTTTATTTACTACTCCTCCTTAATCCATATTGCATGTTTTGCTTTGTGAGCTTGAGTAGAAGTTAGTGTGCTCTTCTAAAATTGCATAGTTAGAGGTTAACGTGTGCGCACGGCCTGGTTGTTTTTAGAGTTGACCCAGCAGTTAGAAAAGTAAAGATAAGAACTCCTTTGATAAGGACAGACTATCTCTCTTTCTCTGGAGCATTCAGATTGACCCCTGACCCGGATACTAACCGCTCCGTACAGCTCTCCCTTCCTGCTGATAGCCAGATAGTAGTTGCTGTTCAGCCCTTTGATGGCCACCACTCCCACGTCCACCGATGTGATTTCCAGAATGCCTAGGGTTCAGCAAAAAATACAGTTATATCAATGTATGTCAACATTCACAGTGAGCATAGCAGCTTGATGTCATTTGTGCATGTAACTCAACTGCTGAGATCAAAACACTTTAAAAAAAAATCACGTAGACAAAAAGAAAACAAAGAAAAAAAAAACGTGTTTTTGACTCGTAGTTGAGGTAGATGAGTTTACAGAATTGTATAAATAAATCCATAACGTTTTACAGAACTCGGAGAGGGTGAGAGTAACGAACGGATAACAAAATATTGCACGCTCATTCTAGGACATTTAGGAACACACAGTGTGGGAATTCTGCCTAAGTCCTTAAGCAAGATTTATCGTTTTGTTGATATTATAAAGGCACTTTACAACCTGTAACAGATTCCAGCTGCGCAAGCCATTTAGTTTGAAAATTAATAGGTGGATACCGCAGAGATTCTCAGGTTGTTTATGTTCTGTTTGGTTTTTCCAAGTCCCGGTGCAAGCAATTCAGGGTTCTCATAGGCTATTAGAGGGGCTAATTTATACCCCAGTTAACAAGGGCATGCTTTTGCCCCAGACAGCTGTGGTTATTTGTGTGGTCTAAGTATCAGAGGTCAGAGAGATATAACTTCCTAACGTGTCCTTTGACCACAGAACCTACTTGTCTCGTCTTATCCTGTGTGTGTGTGTGTGTGTGTGTGTGTGTGTGTGTGTGTGTGTGTGTGTGTGTGTGTGTGCACATTAACCTCCCCTGTTCCCATGGCATGTTTGATTTCATGCCTCCCTCCCTGACTTCCTTTCCCCACTTCCTGTGAGCTGTCGTTATTTTAGCCAGATAAGCACACATGTGTGCGCACACACACACGCTTCAGCGTGGGGTGTGAACTCCAGTCAACGACAACCTTTGATCAGATCAGCAACCCCTCCTCTGTCTGATGACTGTTTGTGTGGTAGCCCGCCCCACTGTCAGGCCCACTCTCCGGTGGTTGGGGGCCTCTAAGGCTGCCAGCCTGGTACATGAGGGGACAGTGGACGATGCAGGTGTGCCCCCAAAGATCAATCTCTTTTTTCTTTTTTGTTGAATAGAGCAGCTTCCCTCCTGTTTATGAGGTCTTGACTGTATCAGTTTCTAGTTCAAACAGTGGCACCTCGGGGCAGTGAGGTCTGAAGCGGCAAGGCGGTGGTGGGGACTGTATCACAACGGCCATTGAAGATCTGAGAGGAGCTGGTTTCTGTATGGGATCGGGTGTCGGGTACGGAGTGAGGATGTAAGACAATCTATGGCAGTCTCTGGCTGCTCTGTAAACATGGGAGGGATGAAAGCAAGGAGAACAGAGGAGGACAGAGGAGCCATGACAGTGAGACTGGGGGTGGAGTGAGGATTAGTAAGTCTGTAATGATCACTGATCAAAGACCGCCACCGGAGGCAGAGGGGAGACAGGTCGCATACACACACACAGGCGCACACACGTATCTACGTACTGACACACACATACACAGAGATGATATTGTAGCAGGTGAATGTGCACTTGCAAATCTAACCTGGCTGTGTAACTGCACAATCTCCATTCACTGTTCTCTGCTTGGTGCTAAACTCGGCCCACGAGTGGAGAGTAATGAGTTCATGGCTGCAAGTATGGGGAAACACCACCACCAAAACAGCCTACTCCAGATTACTACATTAAGCCTCAAATGTGACAACAATGCTTTTTACGTGGTACATTTTACAAACCGCACGTGAAAAATGTAGCCGTAAGTCAGCCAGCCGTGCAGGTTCAGCTGTTTATTTGGGGAGACAGCAGTTTTTCTTTTGCATGCTGGTTGCTTTTCTGTGTGGCTTATTTCTGTTTGGAGTTACAACAGTAAATGGTGCGTTGGTCTTGGAATGGAGGCACACAATGCCAGTGAGAATTAAAGGTGGTTTTTCCACAGTCGGATGCCAGAAACCATGTGCTTTGCATCTGAATTGTTATTCCTCCTCACCCCAGCTTTGCTGTTATTTTTAAATAAATAAAAAAGGGTTTCTGCCATTCCCATGAGGATAAATGAAGTGGAACAAGGCGTAAATCAGGATACACAGTAATAACACTTGATACAGACCACACAGAATGTATCTGAGAATGTATCTGAGAAAAGCTATACATTTCTCTTCTCATACCTCAATAAGAGCACCATCTGTTTTTTTCCCCACGCCAAAGGCAACTGCTTTGATTAAAGGACATGAATGCACAAACACTTAAGCACACGTTCGCATATAACACACACACACGTTTTGAACCATGTCCAGAAGCATCTTGCACACGTGGCCCCTAAAGCACAGAATCACAAATGATGGCGGGACAGAAATACACACACACACACACACACACACACACACACACACACACACACACACACACACACACACACACACACACACACACACACAAACAAACACACAAACCCTGACAGGCTCACCCTCTCACACCGTCACAGCCTCGGATAATTACCAAAATGTTTTACCGCCAAACTTTGCCTTTAGTCTTATTAAGCAATATTTCACTCAGAGCCGCTAGTCGTCGTACATTCAGGAGAACTCAGCTGTGAATCACTCATATTTTAATCACATACTTAGGCCATGCAGATACCTACTTAGCTGACTTTAACATAATCTCCCTCCCTTTCTCTCTGCCTCTCTGTAACCTCAGCACAGGCGCTCAGCGGGTTTGAAAGCCATGTGGGACAGTTTTGCGCTGGCATCCCCATAAATCTGTGGGAGGCTGGATACTGGCTCTTTAACAGACAGTGAGCCGGGTCCTCGCAGGGCCACAGACAGCACCAAAAACCAAAGCCTCCACATCTCGTACACCTCTAGGAAAAGCATGGTAAATCTATAAATGAATCTATTGCAGAAAATCAATGTAGTGTGATTTGTCTTGCAACTTCTGGCTCAGCAAAATGTAAGCCATCCTCCACTCATCGCAAAAAAACTTGATATTTTATCACTTCAAGGGACCATCGAGGGTCTACAAAGGACGTCAGCCCTGGGATCATGTCTAGCCCCAGGGGCCAGAGTAAAGACTAAAGCTGCTGTTGTGTAGAATCCTTTACCGTGTGAACCTGATATGAGGGCACATAATCCACACACAGTGTCCTCAGACCCCCCCAGGACACATCTTTTTGATGGCACCACCATTGATACTGAAGACGCGCGGCTTTGATGTGGCCACAATGATGTTCAGCCATGTCATTCATGAACTTGTACCTCTAGAGATTCTCCTGTGCTCCCTTTCACCTCCCTTCGATGCTCACTCTGAACTACCTCAAACTAACTTTTGGAAATGGCAACACACTCCTAAAAATGAGAAGGTGCTGGCCAATAAAAAAGAGGACAGAGTGGTAAATCCTCTTCCAAACATACATAAAGTTTGGGGTGATTTCACACACCACTGTTATGATAACTGAGTCAGACTTCCTTTCAGTTTTACAACTTAAAAGAAAATTCTACTTCTACCACTAACAAAAATGCAGTAAAGGCATTGCGATGTTATACAGTCAGTAAATAAAGTTGCCTCTTTCATGACCTTGTCAAAACAAACATCTCCCCTGACATTATGCCTCCCCATGCCATTTCCCCTAAGTCACTTTGATTGAATATGTGGTTTAGCTCTCCCAAGAGGAACATTAAAAGCTTCCATATACACTCTGGGTTGGGGGACAGAGTGTGAGAGGGAGGGAGGGAAAAAAGAGCATGTGAGAGATGTATACTGTATGTGTGAGTGTGTGTGTCAGTAATAAGGGAGCACATGTGTCATCCTCCGCTGCTATATGATCACACACCCACTGAAGCATGTGAGTGCCTGCTGGCTGATAGGCACACACACTTAGCTTGGTGGGAACACTGGAAGACTAATGAGAAAGCTATTTAACTGACTGATATCCCGAAACATACAACGTGTAATTACTCTAAAGACTTGTTTCTCTGAGTGCAGCATGTCAAACTGCTTTAAACAAATGTCTGATCTGTCATGGAGGGTATGTAATTTGCCGGACGATGTCTGGCTGGCGAGCAAACTGAGTGGGAGAGTGAGAGAGACACAGACAGGCAGAAAAAGTCTGAAAGCATTGATGAGACTGACAACCATATCCTTCCCCCTCGCACCCCTATCCCTGTTCTTCTGTGGTTGTTATCAGTGCTGTTTAACCAGGGCTGTGAAGACAGCCTGATAATGGCTGCCTTATCTGCCCCTGCTCCTTTTTAAGCCATCTGAGAGCTACCATCATTGTGCTGAACGTTTGGACAGGAGAGATACCAGTGGGATGTCTGGTTTAAAACAAAATACGACTAATGCTTCATCCAAACGACCAACCAACGGGCAGGCTGGCAGTCTCAGAATATCATCCAAGAAACATGCTTTTATATAAATGTGATGTTTTACGCAGCGTAATATATCCAGTTTATGCACTTCTTATAAAGAACAACCACCTGATTTCTCAAATGAGAAATAAATAAACATTTAAGAGGGTTTCTTATTGCAATAAATGTCCCACAGGTGCTCTTTGTTGTGCGTGATAAACAAATGCCTTAAAAGGTCAAAAGTTTTGGCTGCATAAATTAAAAGTTTGGCTGTAAAAACTGTGTGCTCAAACAAGCCTGGTTTCTTCTCACATTTAACTTTTGCAGCCACCACCACATAGACTCAGATCATCGTTGGTGTCTGTTTCCTTCCTTTCTGTCTACTTTTGCTCATGTATATCACCAGGAATTACTTACTGAGGGGGTCATCCTTGCTCTTGGTTCCATTGACCTTTCCGTCCCTATCGATCCTCAGGAAAAACTTCTGGAAAGAGAACAGCTTCCTCCTCCGCATGTCCCCTGTGAGATGATTGTAGCTGCGCACATGCCTGCCTTGTGGCCCCCCAGTCCGACCCAGGGGGCCCCCAGTGGCCCTGGGCCTAGACAAAACCTCAGTCTCAGAAATGTTCAGTGGGACCCTGAGAGTTCGAGGGTTGGCGAGCCTTAGTCTGTCTCTGCGGGGCTGATGGCAAGCTGCCCCCGGTAGGGAGAAGGAAAAAAACACCAGGGCAACCAGAAGAGGCAAAGACAGGGAGGAAAGCAGTGTGGATGGGGAGCTCAGTCTGGTCCCAGCGTGAGCCCCTAACCCAGCCCTGGAGCAGGACGAGGCAGAGGCAGCCTTACTCCCTCCAGCAGCCCATCTGATCATGGTAGTGTGCTGTGTGGAGGACTACAGGCAGCCTCAGAGCCTGGGACATGCTGCTGGGGGCGAGAAAAGGCTGGGAGGGCAGGGAGGGGAGCCCTCCACAGTCCAGACGCGGCGAGGTGGTCCCCCTGCAGAGTCCCAATTATTTAGCACCTGGATAAGATTCTTTCCCTCTCAATTATTTTTGATAGTTTTCGACAAGTCAATGTGAGTCCTCTTCTCCACCGATAAAGTTTTAGGCTGAAGATCAGAAAGTCTGTTTTGGAAAATAAAACAGTCTGAATGAACAAAGAGTACGACAAAAACAACACACCGATTACTTTTTGAGTTTATTCCATTACTGAACCTGTTTTTCCACTTCCCCTACGTTTTCTAATCGCTCTAAATTGTTTGTAAACGTTGACTACTCGGCTGCTCGTGTGACCCTTTTATTTCCAGGCACTTTCTAAATAAAAAAAAAACAGTAAATAAAAAGATATCAAGTTCACTGATATCCAGTCAGAAAGATTGCCATGTGAAAAAAAATCCTTAATTCCAGTACAATGAAAGAAAAAGGCAATATACCTGTCCAATAGCTGTTTCACTCCACATGTGCAGAAAAGGATTTTCAGATTTCAGTCTGAGGAGAAAAAGCAGGAATCAAGACTTGAGGGGAACGCTGGTCAATCCGGGCGCATGTGAGATAATCCATCTGTGTTCTCTCCTCATCTATTTACCCCCAAATGACTCCACCTTCATGAAGCATCGAGGTAACGGTCTGGGGAGGTCTTCCTCTCGCTCTAGGGGTTGATTCAGAGTGATTTGCCTCCTCTTCGTTGGGTTTCTTGATACAAGGATTCCTGGTGTGATCTCCTCACCTGGAGGCTGATCACAGAAAATGACTGTGTTGTGTTGTGTGTAGCTGTGTGACTCTGTTAGTTATTTGATCCCTCCCTCCTTTACTCAACTTCCCCTCACACATATGGGAACATGTGTGTGTGTGTGTGTGTGTGTGTGTGTGTGTGTGTGTGTGTGTGTGTGTGTGTGTGTGTGTGTGTGTGTGTGTGTGTGTGTGTGTGTATGCCTACATACAAGCTGATCTGACTTATGAGAGTGTGTGAGAGGTGATAGCAGGGTTTATCTGAGTAGATGCAGCAGGGCAGGAAGAAGCCGTCTGGTAGTATTGGATCTGTCCCGAAGGCTAAAGATTGTACTGGTGATGGCTTTATTGAATAATCAAAGGGCTGTTCTGTTTTCTGTATGGTTGCAAAAAATAGGACTCGTGTTTTTTTGTTGTTATCTTGTGTAAGATGGAGTGTGAATGAATACAAAATGTAGACCCACTTATTACTCATTAAGATGTGATAATCCTAACAAGTGGTCATCCTGCTCTATCTCTTCAGATAAAAATCATATTAAGTTACTATGGCCGGTTCCAGTCTGGAAGCTGGTCTTATCACGGCCATCTCCTCTCCTCTCTCTTTCCCTCAAGGCACTTTATCGTAGTGTGTTATCTGTCTTGCGTCGCTGTAATGCAATGAAGCTCTCTAGTTTCACTCAGCAGACCTCCGCCTTCCTTTGGGACTCAGGTGTCTGAGTGGCCCTCGGCCAATGAGACTCTCTTAAACGAACCATGCATCATTTGCTCCTCAAGGCAAGGCAGGCACAGGATGGACAATATCATGGCGGACTAGACAACAATGCACAATATGTGGAGTGAATGTGCAAAACATTAGGGACGGTCACTGTTCTCACGAAGCACACTGAATAAACACTTCACATTATGCAAAGAGTGTTGCAACACCAGAGAGACAATTCAAGTCTTATTAAGATGTCAACAATGATCAAGTGCCATGTGGGGAGGCGTGTGGCACAGTGGGTAGAGCCTTGGTGTTGAGATCAGGGGGTCACAGGTTTGAACCCCACTGCAGTCAACATGTCGTTGTGTCCCTGGGCAAGACACTTCATCCCAAATTGCTCCTGTGGGCATTGTCCACAGTATTGAGTATGTAAGTTGCTTTGGATAAAATCTTTTAACAAGTAACATGTCATGTCATGTAATGTGGTGACATTTCTAACCATCTGCTATGATAAACTAAACTTGTGCTGGCAGTCTTATCTGTCCTCCCTGATCTTTGTGTCTTTAATGTCCGGGTCTGTCCTCTTCCTCGCTTTCCTTCCCCTAAGTCCCAGTTTTTAGCGCCTGCTTTAATGTCTGTCAACGATCTATGGCCAGAACAGCAGTCTTGGCATGGCTTTATCTGGGAAACAAACAAAGCTATCTTATCATGGTTTCCTTTGTGGTGTCCTTCCCAATGTGATAACCTGAATCAGTGCAGAGGAAACAGAGCTGGGAGGAGCAGCCATCATTCTTATTGATTATTAATAGATTAAGTTGTTCTAGATTTATTTTCATTGCTTACAATTGCTTCTACTTTACCTAAATGTTGTTATTACAATTAATGATTGTATCTAAATGTTGATTTAAGTATATGTATCTCTAATGAAGGTTTATATTCTTTTCAAGATTCAAAGGTTTTATTATTATGTGCACAGCTACAGTGTACTTATGGCAATGCTAATCTTAGGTCCCGAGCTCCTCGAACACAAATGTTGTTTATCATGTTGTAGTTAAAGTAAAATATGTTATTTCTCATTTTATAAATCAAAGTTTGTCATTTGTATGAAAACGAATTATTAATTTACTTTTTTTATTTGTGTCATGCAAAACATTAGGCTATCCAACATGTTATTACATACATTTCCTGTCTTGCATTGTGTGGAATAGAAAAAAAGAGAAAATAATCAGCTCATTTAAATGTTTGAATTTAAAATGAGCACAAATAGACACAAATTCCAAATACTCAGTTTAGATTGGTTAATTTTGTGCATTCATTGTATTATATTCTCTTCTTTAAAAACCTTGGCGAGGTTTAATTACTTTCACTGTAAGGCTGTAAGAAATGTAAGTGACAATATCTTGAAAGAAATCAATTTATTATATCAAAGTTGTGTGGCCTGGAAATATGCAAATATGTTTGTTGGAAAATATTTTTGGGAAAAGTACTAAATTAAATAGCTTGTCTGTGATTTATCATTCTACTTGTGTACGGTTCACTGGACAATCATGGCCCGACGATCTATTCTTTCTATTAGAAGTATGATAGGTAAGATACTGTAAAATATCTCAGTTTAATGCATCAGGATTGCATTTGAAACTAGAGAATGCAATTCCTGAAGAAATTGCTAGTGGGAATGCTTTATGCTGAAAAGCTGACGTTAAGCTGCTGAAATGTAATGTGTAAGAAGAAAGTGAATAATTTAGATTGAAATGATACATGAACACTGGGGGCTTGAATGTGTAATAAGAGAAGAAAAGAAAGTAAAAAGGCTTGGAAAAGCAGAAGAATATTTGAACTGCAAACGTTTGAACTAACTTAATGGCGAATGATCTGTCGCCAACGGCATTTGATGACATCCCATAATACGTTTAGATGCGTTGATGGCTGCATCGTTACCAAACCTGTGAAGTTTTGGGCCATGGCAACACAATGAGAAATCTCTCAAGAAGAAATCTCTCAAAACTGTGCCTTAGATGTCTTCACGGCTGGACTTAGCACACATGTGAAGTTTGAGCACTTTTTGAACATTTTCATAGGAGTTATAGCGACATCGTCTTTTATGAAGAGGGATGCGTTTCCATGGAAACGGCATATGATGACACTCCATAATTAACATAGAGCTGTTGAGGGCTGGACTGTTAACCATTATCTGAAGTCTGGTGCTCTGAGCATGTCAGTTGGAGTTATGACATCATCGTGTTCCATGACACAGGTGTTTATATTTGAGCCAAGACGTGTCCAGAGATCAAAGGTTTCCATGGTGATGTGCAGTAATCAGTGAGAGGAGAGCATTTTCATTGTTCTGAATGAGAGATAAACCTCTTACATGTGAACGTTTTGTTGAAGAACCGTAACAGATATCGGTGAAATTTCAAAACGTGAAGCATGTCAAGGAACTTGAGCATCTGAAGTGTACTTTTTGTGTACTTTCGGGTTAATAATTTGGCCTTTTTGGCAGATTAACTAAAGGTGTGCGGCTGCTGTGGTGGGGAAAGATGAGGCTGAACTTACAATGGGGTTTAATGGAGACATGTTGAAAGTTTTTGTCACTTCATGCCCTCAAGAGGCATTTTGTTTAATTATTTTGCTTAATATTTTTTTATTTTTCAAGCTACGAGATGTTTTCCTACGTTTCTCATGAAAAATTATGTCTCAAGAATGTAGGGTTTGGGCATTATGGCAGGTTTAAAAGAAAATATGAAGGCAAAATTAAATCTGTCCTCCTAGCTGTGACACCACACACTCTAAAATCTGAAGAAGGCCTCTTTACCAAGGTCTGAACAATGTTGAATATCTCTAAAAGTGCAAATCAGAATTAAAAGTTGTGTTAGATGAATAATGTCAGAAAGATGTGTAACATTTTAAAGGTGGAATTAGATTTCTGAGTGAAAGTATGAAGGAGCAGTTAGCAGTTGAAGTTGCATGAAGATTGTTCAAGTCTGAAGAGTTTCTCCATTGACTTCCATGTTAAAAATGTGATGAATTATGGGACGTATCTCTGGAATTATGAAAGTTATGAATGATAAAAGTAATAGCCATCGATTCCCGACCGAGTTGAACGTTTTGATGTTTGAACAGAGTTTCTGTGATGTGGAATGTGGGAGAAGAAGAGGTGCAAAATAATCCGGCGGAATAATAAAGAATTTCGTGCGTAGCATAACAGATAGTTGAAATGCTGTGTCAGCATTCCCACTAAATGATTTCACATTGGAGGCATGGTCAGATTCTCAGATAAGGGATCAGAGACTGAAGAGTCAGCTCTTACTGTTCTTTCCACTAAGACAGTAATGTCCTCTGTAGGTGCCTCAGAGGGATGTGGGCCTGCAATGATTTGCAGGATTTCTTTAGAGGCCAAGGAGCAAATTCTTTATAAACGTAACCGTGCCTGTGTTTTATCTCCTAAATGCAATATAAGTGAGATTTGCAGGGTCTGGAGATGGTCTCATCTCTTCCCTGCTCTACAGCTTTTGCATTTAGTGTATCTTTATAGATCTATCCCTGAATTGCATTTCAAAGTTCAAAACAATAGGCAGTAGAACAGACAAATGTGCTTCTGATCCCTCCCTACAGGCTGTGGCTCTAGCTGGGTTATTACGCTATTCTCAAAAACAGAACATAATTACAATAAAGGCAATGAAAACTCGAATACTGAAAATGTATATGCGTCAGCAGAGATTTGATTTCACACAGTACAAAATGCCAAAAAGAAAAAGGAATCGAGGGGAAACACATGGAAAGATTCTCTTTTGTACTTTTAGCGTTTCATGTAAGTTAGCTTGTCAAAAGCAAACTCTTATTTTTCTGCATTTATTTTTATAAAGTAAAGAAAGCATCAAGTGTTATTTTAGTTGTATTCAGTGCTGCCTTTAACTCAATAATTATGTGAATACATTTACATTTTTATTTGAGTTCAAACAGGAACAAGTTAGGATCAAGGAAAAACAAACAAGCAGACAGTTGCTAATGTATCAGCTTTGTTCTTCTCTTTTATTATTATTAAATCATACATTATTTCTATCACAGAACCTACCAACTGTGGTTTATCTTGGTACAATCTTGCCCTCTTTGGATCTCGTTACTTTATCTTCCTGTAAAAGCCATGATGGCCTTGTTGCTCATGCAAACTACGCAGTTGGTTCTGTTTGAACTGTTGTCGCCCGCCGGCTTTAAATGCATCACTTCCTGTGTCTAATGATTTTATTTTCTTGATAACAACATGCTTGAACTCAAAAG